AGTGGTAGAGCACTTGCTGAGCATGAAAGCTCAGGGACAGTGCTCAGGCCCTGAGTTCAAGCAAGACCAGGCCCCCCCTCCCCCGCGGCTCCCCAAAAAAAAGTCTCATAGACTTTCCTGTCTGGGTTGGCTTTGAACTGTAATTCTCAGATCTCAGCTTCCTAGATAGCTTAGATTACAGGTGTGAGCCATCAACTCCCAGTTTCGTATTTATTTCTGAATTTCTCAGAAGAGTAAAGAAAAAGCAGGAAGAGGCCCCCCAAGGAGAATAGGCAGCTTACAGGAGAAACTGCAAGCCTCTAGCCAAGAACTGAAACACAGACATGACTAAAAGAGTTCACAGCCCAAGGGCAAAAAAAAAATGTGTATTCAACTTAAGAGTGATTGATAGATGTTCCACTTCTCCACTCACCTCGGAATCCCTTCTTAGCTCTTAGTGCCTAAAATGGGGAAAACAAATCATTAACAAAATCCAACAGTGAATGTGTTAAAATTGGAAATGAGAATCAATTGTTTTACCATTTGCCAAGTCAGCAGAGGAAAGAGCACCAATGGCATTTAGAGACAGAAGTTCCTTTATGTTTTCCTAGAATTCCTGATAATGGACTTATTCAGGACATGGAAACAATCCTTACTAATCAGCAGCAGTGCCAGTGGGTCCACATAAAATCTCTTCCCAGATTTTTAGATACCACATGATCCTCCCTGCCAGGATGTGGCTGTAAGCATTTGCTTCGAGTCCACACACCTGACTCACAGTGATGGGTATATAAAAACACTACCAAGCTAGATGATTGAAGGCTCAGGAGAAACCTTGCTCACACCAATGTTACTTCCCATTATTCTTCTCTGAGGACCATATCCTCATTTTTGACACTGGACTCTCAGAGTATTCTATGAAGTCAGAAATGTTCAGAGTCCAGGGGTGAAGTGGAGGGTGGTGTTGACATTTCCACACATCCTCCTCTACATGCTGCCTACCATTTCTGAGCCCTGGAGATTTCTTGCAGCTCTTTCAGGGTACTGTCCAGCTCATTTGACTTCTGCCCACACGGTCTCATATTCCCTAATGGGGAAAATTAAAGTGGTTGTTTAAAAATGATGTAGTTTGGGGTGGGAATGTGGCTTAGTGGTAGAGGGCTTGACTAGCATGCATGGAGCCCTGGGTTGGATTCCTCAGCACCACCTACACAGAAAAAGCCAGAAGTGGCACTGTGGCTCAAGTGGTAGAGTGCTAGCCTTAAGCAAAAGAAGCTCAGGGACAGGGACAGTGCCTAGGCCCTGAGGTCAAGCTCCAGGATTTGGGGGGCGGGGGAGGGGGGGAAATGTAGCTGGCTAGGTGCTTGAAATCTTAGGTATTCGGGAGGCTGAGATCTGAGGATCATGATTTGAAGCCAGTCAGGGCATGAAAGTCCAATTAACTATTAAAAAACAACAACAGGGCTGGGAAGGTGGCTCAGTGGTAGAGCGCTTGCCTTGCATGCATGAGGCCCTGGGTTCGATTCCTCAGCACCACATAAACAGAAAAAGCTGGAAGTGGCGCTGTGGCTCAAGTGGTAGGCGACAGAAAAAAAAAAAAAAAGCCAGAAGCAGAGGTGTGGCTCAAGTTGAAGAATGCTAGCCTTGAGCAAAAAGGCTCAAGGACAGTATCTAGGCCCTGAGTTCAAGCCCCAGGCTCAAGTGGAAGAGTGCTAGCCTTGAGCAAAAAAAGCTCAGGGACAGCATCGAGGCCTTGAGTTCCAGCCCCAGCACCACCAGCACCAAAAAAGAAAGAAAATGAAAAAGGCTCCTTCCATTGAGAAGGGTTTTCCTCAGAATTTGCTTTCCCTTCCCCTCTTCCAGGTAGAGAGGAGGCAGAGGGGCTCAAACCCTTCCCCCGTGGGCCCGTCCCGTCAGGAGATGCGGGACGACTGGGGTGAGGCGGCTGCGGGCGAGGCTGCGGGTCTGTGTGCAGCTGAACGAGCTTCGGCTCACCACACTCCTACCCACCCGTCCGGGCCCAGCCCCCGGACCCCGCGGGCGGTATTTCCTAGCAGCGGGGGCTCACGTCGGGGCATCCCAGCGACACCGCCGCGGTGCCGGACGTTCTTTCAATTCCCCAGCCCGGCCCCAAGCCGGAGCCATCCCGCCCCCTGAACTCTCCCCAGGGCCTCACGACCCCGCTCCGCGCACCCAGCCAGCCTCGACGGGTGCAGCCTGTGGTCCTCCAGCCCACCCCGTGTTCCCGTTAAGCGCCGACCCTTCGAGGGCACGGTCGTCGGGTCCCGGCCCTGCCCGAGCAGCGGGTTCCGACTTCACTCGGGCCGCCCAAGCTCCGTCAGGTTTCCTCCCCGCGCCCCGGACGTCAGCTTCGCGGTCTCCGGCTTTCCGTAGAAGGTGGAGCGAGGCACCCTGGGAGTTGTAGTCCTCTGACCGATCACCCACGGGCCTGGGGCGCGGAAGAGAACTACCCTTCCCAGTGCGCCCTGCGACGGCCATTTGTGAATGGCTCTGTGTGTTGCTAGGCGCCATCCAACATGCCTCTTTGCCCGCACTAGTGGGACTGAGGTCGACGGGGCTGGGGAGGAAAAAAAAGGTGGCGCTTCGCTCTTCCGAGCGGACCCGTGGCGGCGTCGGGGGACCCGAGATGTATGTTAATGATGGGTTGGCGAGTGAGTCCACAATCACGTATTTATCCCTCACCAAGATTAAGAGGGAATGGGCTGGGAAGGTGGCTCAGTGGTAGAGCGCTTGCCTTGCATGCCTAAGGCCCTGGGTTCGATTCCTCAGCACCACATAAGAAAAAAGCCGGAAGTGGCGCTGTGGCTCAAGGGGTAGAGCTGAGGGACAGCCCAAGACCGGACCCAAAACAACAACAACAAAGATTAAGAGGGAAGTGACTGTAATTTGATCAAAGCTGGTGGCGGGAACAAAGCCCGAGCCCGGGACAGAACGGCAGAAAGGCACGGGCCGTTTCTCGGATTTTGTTAAGGATTACCTCATCTCACAAAGGGAAGGACTCTCTATGGCTTGGCTTATTGGCCAGCTATCCAGTGCTGGAGGGCCAAGGCTGTCCAACCGGGATTCACCGGCCTCCCCTGAGTTCCCTCTCCTGGTCCCATTCCCGACGTCCACGTTTCGTCAGGCCAGGGTTGGGTAATCACGCTAAATGCGTCTTGTCAGTAGAACCAAACATGCCATAAAGTATTTACCCACTCCAAAGAAAGCAGTGGGAAATAAAGTTTTGGGTTGAAAAACTCTTAACATCATTCCCAATTTTCCTTTAAATTTAAGGTAAAACCAAACCAAAACATTATTGTTGCAACTGCTAACAAGTAGTATTTGTTAAAGCAAGGTCCTCTGCATGCCTTTTATCATGGACCAGAGGAATATTGAGGTATTTGTGTTGACAGCTAAAATCAAAGCCTCACCAGTATTCCCCCCCGGGCCATCCTGGGTCTTGAACTCAGGGCCTAGAGACTCTCCCTGGGTTTCGTCTGCTCAAGGCTAGCAGACCTTGACGCTTAAGCCACAGTGCCACTTGTGGCTTTTCATCTGAGGAATGGAATCCAGGGCTTCATGCATGCGAGCAAGCCTTCTACCACTAAGCCACATTCCCAGCCCACCAGCAATATTTTCTAAATGAAGTAATTTACAGTATAACTTGTTCTAATCCCAAGACTGGAGCAGTAATTAGCTGCATTATTTCATAAATATTGGTCTCATCATAATGGATTTTCTAGCACAGCTCCTCTCCCCAGCTACTGCTTTAAGATGACCAACCTATTGCTCCAGGCATACCCTACATGTACAAGGAGTGTGGGCTCTTACAGACCCTGTGAATCTAATTCACTTCCTAGTAGGATGGATGGTAAGAACTCAGGAAATGGGGAGGTAAAACAGTGGCAAATATCTAAGCAGAGAACTCTAGAATGATTAATTTGGAGTTGTATTTCCCTGGACAAAGGTTTGAAGGAAATTCAATTAAGATCTAACAAGTTAGCTTTAGGACTATAAAATGCTGCCAGGTATTAGGTGCATTTTCCTACAGAAAATTATGTGAGCCCAGGTGTGGTGGCTCACACCTATTAATCCTAGCTACTGAGAAGGCTGAGATCTGAGGATTATGGTTCAAAGCCAGCTGGGGAAGAAAAGGCCGTGAGACTCTAATCTCCATTAAACCACTCAGAAAACTGGAAGTAGTGCTGTGGCTCAAGTGGAAGAGTACTAGCCTTGAGCTGAAGAGCTAAGAGACAGTACCCAGGCCCAGAGTTCAAGCCCCATGACCAAAAAAAAAAAAAAAAATTTATGTGAGCATCGTTAATTTGCAGCTAAGCGTGTTCTGAAGGTAAGCTGATACTCACCAGCTGTTCTGAGGACAAGAACACGAAGGCCCTTCCTCTACCCCCCTCTCCCCATGACTTTGGGACCAACTGTGGTTTGAGATTACCAATGTGGAAGCTAATAGAGCACAAACTAGATAGAGTCCCAAATACATGAAAGCTTGACCTTCATCCATTATATACAGCAAACACATCTCTAATAAACCTTGAATTACCAGTTTTATATATTGTGCAGTATACTTTTTTTCTTTAAAGATTCAGGGTTCCCTAACAGAAAAATATAATTCTACTTACAACTGCTACTTGTTCATATAGGTCTTCTTCCATTTTATGTTCACAGTGTCACCTAAACTGAGTAAACTTGTATTTTAAATTTCCTCATAATTTAAACTTAGTTTAATTGTGCCAGGTGCTGGTGCTCACACCTGTAATCCTACTCAAGAGGTTGAGATGAGACTGCAGTTCAAAGCCAACCTGGGCAGGAAAGTCCATGAGATGCTTTTCTTCAATTAACCACTCAAAAACTAGAAGTGGTGCTGTGGTTTAAGTGGTAGAGCCCTGGCTTTGAGCAAAAGAGCTAAGGGACCGTGCCCAGGCCCAGAGTTCAAGCCCTGGGACCAGCAAAAAAAGTAAATAGCTTATTTGTGTGGTATGCTCGTTCTCAGTAGTACAAATCAGTGAGGTTTTACTATGCCTTTATTCTTTGATTACACTGAAAAAAATCCAAGACAAAACATTCCAATGTTAATAAAAATACTAACATCAAATGTTGGATTTAGTTTTAAAATAAAACGAGGTGCTAAATCAAGGACAGCTCTATAGTGTGTACAACCTGCTAAGATAGATCCTAGACCTAAGCAGCTGGGTTAGTTAGGTGTATCAGTTCAGAAAACATCAGATGCTGCCCACAAATAGGCATCTGTGAGAACAGTATTTGAACACTGACTTTGAGATGATTATACATAGAACAGGTCAACATGGTCATTTAACTACTATCAACACACACCCAAATGAGTGACACCATGCTAATCTTCAGTCCTATCCCAAGTCTCAGTTCTCCCAGGAGAAAGATGAAGGCCAACAAACACGATTTCTGCCATAACCTAAAGTATCACATTACCAGCTCCTCTAGAACAGAGTTTATGTCAGGCCCCAGGTCAGAAAATTGTTTCTACTGAATTGTATTCTCAGAACTGATAATAGGACTGGTTTCATGAGGCAGTTATCACACATGATCATTAACAAGTTAAAAAAACCCAAGTAGTGTTTTACATTGATTTTCAGAAAAACCATTCATCAAAAGGTAGACAGTGGCTGGGTGTTGTATCACACATCTCGGAAGGATGTTAAGAGTTCCAGTCTAGCTGGACTACATAGTAATAAGTCCCTATGTCAAAAACCAAAAACCTTTAAACATAGAAGGATTATATAAATTAGATTTCAATCGACAGACAATTTAGCATAAAAGCTCCTAGAAACAAAGCCAGAAGCTCAATAACAAGGTATTTCCAATCATTTAGTCATACTTTAATGTTTACATTTTTCTGATCCAAAAATCAGAACACATGGTTTCCATGGAAGGATTTTTTTTTTCTGAATCATTTCTGGGTGTAAGATGTTTTCATTTTTAAAAAGTAATTTTATTTTTTATTATTAAGGTGTTGTACAGAGTGGTTACCATTTCATAAGTCAGGTAATGTTTTTACTTTTTTAAATGCCAAACACCATGTAACCATTATTTTAATGGTTATGCCAAGATGACTGAATATTGAAAATCTGGATTGTCTCAGGAAATTTAGTAAGGTCACCAAAATTACTTAAGTATCACAGCTGAGGGCTTTTCCCTATACTTATTCTACTAAGATGGAATAATTCATTTTCCTTCTTTATTATTGGGGGTGGGGGGGAAAGAGAGGAAGGAAATCAAATACCACTGATGGAAGGCCCAGCAAAGGTCAAAAGCCAACTGTTCTGAACTGTGCAAGAAGCTGGGGACAAAAAGTGTACAGGGCTCCTATAGAAACAATAGAACTCCCGAAGGGAATACCTTCAGGAGCTATGGGTCCTGCAGTGTGTGGAGATCTTGTTGGAAAATGTTAGTATGACAGCAGCAATGCTTCTGCAGAGAAGGGAAGCAGGCAGAAAACACACCCTCGGGTTAAGGTTTCCAGTTACTTTCTTTCCCCCAATTTTCTTCAGTATTGCCTTTAACCAGGCCCCATGGTTGGAGTGGTAAGTCATTTGATAGGGAAGTTCTACTGCACATAAAATACCTTTGTTTAAAAACACCTGCAGAACCAGCGATTAGCAATCAAAATGTGAAAATAATTAGTATTTAGTAGTTAAAATCCTACTAATGATAAAAAATCATGGCCTACCAGTAGGCACTACTAGCAGCATTACAAGTGGAAGCTATCATGCTGCGTATCTTAAACTTTCTGAGTGCTTAGCAAGTCTCTTTCAGTGTTAATTGCACTTAAACACATGATTTTTTTAAAATTTAATCTCTGAAATCTGTTTATCTTAAAAATTTATATAAAGAAGATAGGGGTCAAGTCACTACTTGTTCTACAGTTCTATGAATTTGATAAAGATTCCACGTAGATTTGTGCATCAGGTAGGAGGAAGCAGCATACAGATGCTTTCTGGAGCACAATGAGCTTCAAAGTTTGGACTGCAGTGGCTTCAGGTGCTTGTGGTAAGATTCGTGGACCTAGAGGGAAAGGTAAGAGAGGAAACATTGGTAAACAGCTTGCCATGTGTAAGAACATACTAATTTTTTGTGTGTCAGCACTGGAGCTCGAACTCAGGATTTTGAACTCTTCTTCAGGTTTTTTTTTTGCCCATGGCTGGCATTCTACCAGTCACACCACATCTTTTATGCTTGCTTAACTGGACATACGAGTCTTGAGGACTGCCCTGGCTGGTTTTTAATCTCAATCCTTAGATCCAAACTTTTTGATAGCGAGGATAACAGGAGTGAGCCACTGGTGCTGGACTAAAATGACATACTTTTTTTTTTTTTTTGTCAGTCATGGGGCTTGAACTCAGGGCCTGGGCACTGTCCTTGAGCTCCTTTTTGCTCAAGGCTAGCTCTCTACCACTTTGAGCCACAGGACCACTTGCAGTTTTCCTGTGGTTAATTGGAGATAAGAGTCTCACAGACTTTCCTGCCTGGGCTGTCTATGAGCCATGATTCTCAGATCTCAGCCTCCTGAGTAGCTAGGATTACAGGTGTGAGCCACCAGCGTGCAGAGAGTAAGTTAAATTTCTTTTGCCAGTCACAGGGCTTAAACTCAAGACCTGGGCATACCACCATGCTTGGCTCCCCAAGAATTGTTGTAAAAACACAGAATGAAAAACAAAAACAAAAAACAAACCTGAGTTCAAATCTAAATATCAATGGGATATTTTATGATAGTTAACTGGTATTGTGCTTGTTTTTAAAGTCTGTATATTTTAGAGTTATGTATTACAATATGTATGGTTTGGGTTTTTTTTTTTTTTTTAAAGACAATCCCCAGGAAGTGGGACATAGAGGAGGTGGCAATGGAGGATTCTCATCAAACATGCTGCAATGATTTTAAAGCTAGACAAAGGGTACATTGAAGCACACTGAGGTATTTTGATTTTTGCACATTTGAAAATGTTCAATTAGGGGGGCTGGGAAGGTGGCTCAGTGGTAGAGCTCTTGGCTTGCATGCATGAGGCCCTGGGTTCGATTCCCCAACACCACATAAGCAAAAAGCAAAAAGCCGGAAATGGCGCTGTGGCTCAAGTGGTAGAGCACTAGCCTTGAGCTGAGGAGCTGAGGGACAGTGCCCAAGCCCAGAGTTCAGGCCCCACAATTGGACCCAAAAACAAAAACAAAAACAAAAAAAAAAAACAAAAATGTTCAATTAGGAATATTTAAGAAAAAATTCAAACCCTAGCCAGGTCCTGGTAGCTCACACCTATAATCCTAACTACTCAGGAGGCTGAGATCTGAGGATTGCGGTTCAAAGCCAGCCGGGGTAGAAAAGTCCCAGTGAAAGGCCTGGGCGCTGTCCCTCAGCTCTTCAGCTCTACCACTTGAGCCATAGCACCACTTCCGGCTTTTTTCTTTTTGCTTATGTGGTGCTGAGGAATCGAACTCAGGGCCTCATGCATGCAAGGCAAGCGCTCTACCACTGAGCCACCTTCCCAGCCCCCCGGTGAAATTCTTATCTCCAATAAACCACCAGAAAACTGGCAGTGGTGCTGTGGCTCAAGTGGAAGAGTGCTAGCCTTGAGCTGAAGAGCTGAGGGACAGCGCCCAGGCCCAGAGTTCAAGCCCTACTTATTGCTGGAACAATCCAGATCTCTTTGAACTTCTTGAGTGGATAAAGACACTGTCATAAGTGGCCACAGGGCTTTCAGTGAAGAACTGCTTTCCTGAGGCCTTTCCCGCCTCATATTTCAGTGAAGAGCTTCATGGACTGGGAGGATAGCTAGCTATATGTCAGAGCAGTTGCTTGACATGTACAAGGCCCTAGGTTCCATCCCCAGAACCACAAAAAGTGAAGAACTCACAAAGTAGCAAGACATTTTTTTTTTACCTCTGTTTTGTTCAGGGGGGATCGCTTGGCCCACTCAAACAAATTATCATATACATTCCCATCATAGCGGCCGAGAATAGAGCCAAGGGTCATATCCTTAAAATCAAAGGCATCAACCAAAGCAACAGCATTGGGGCGGATTTCAGTGAGTAACTCCATTATACGCTGGTTTACTTGTTCAATCTGAGACACTGTTATAATATTCCCCTAGAAGAAACCCAAATAAATAAATTAATAAAATACAGAGATACATTTCTACACATAAAACTATAAAAGAAATAAAAATTATTTTTCTTAAAAAAAGAACAACAGGGGCTGGGAAGGTGGCTCAGTGGTAGAGCGCTTGCCTTGCATGCATGAGGCCCTGGGTTCCATTCCTCAGCACCACATAAGCAAAAAGAAAAAAAAAGCCGGAAGTGGTGCTGTGGCTCAAGTGGTAGAGCGCTAGCCTTGAGCTGAAGAGCTGAGGGACAGCGGCCAGGCCCAGAGTTCAGGCCCCAGGACCGGACCCAAAAAAAACAACAAAATAAGGGGGGTGGGAGGGATGGGAAGGGATGGGAAGGGGAAACAAAGGAGGCTACAATGCTTGATAAGAAATGTACTCATTATCTTGCCTATGTAATTGTAACCCCTCTGTACAGTATTTTCACAATAAAATAAATAAAAAGAAAATCTGAAAAAAGAAAAAAAAAAGAAAAAGAAAAAAAAAATAATAACTTTCTAGAGAATACTGACCTGAAGGAAATCTCCTGACTTCTGACTGATTCCATACAGAGAATACAAGAGACATAAGTTCTTTAAGACAAGTTTGATGGATTTTTCTTGAATGCTGAGTAGAGTTTCTGCAAAGATCTTAACTACCACATAGTGGCAATGCGCCTAGATAGAAAGCAAACAATGAATGCAGTGTGAGACCCACCACAATAGGAAAAGATAGGCAGGAAGAGGAGAGAACCACCATTCACCTCACTTGCTCGAACAAGGTCAACGGAAGTTAGGTTCCATGCCACCTCCTTGTTTTTCCTGTGACTCTGTGCAGTCTGAAGGTTTTTAGCAGCCATTTCTACTAGTCTGTTAAGAAATCAAGGAAAACTGAGTAAGGAAAATGACCCACAGAAGCCAGGCACAGTGGCTCCTGCCTATAATCCTCTCTAGTTAGAAGGCTGACATCTACGGATCACAAGTAAGAAGCCAGCCTGAGCAGGAAAATCTATGAAATTCTTATCTCCAGTGAACCACCAGAAAACAGAAAGTGGTGCTCTGGCAAAGTGGTAGAGCACTAGCCTTGAGTGAAAAAGCTCGGGGACAGCGTACAGGAGTTCAAGCCCCACAACCACCAAAATAAAAGAAAAAGGAAAATGACCTAAAGTTCCCAAGCCTACTCTCATCTACCAGGCCCCAAACTCAGAGGCTTCGGGGCTGGGTGAACTTACCTGGATGCACGGAGCTTATAAGCCTCAGTCAGGCTTTCGGGACTGTTGATGTCTATCACAGTCGGCCAGGCTGCCACCTGCTGCGGCTGGATGCGCTGGCTGGGTAGGTCATTCAAGTAGGACACTGTGCCACAAACCAACTTCCCTGAGATCACCTGATTATAGCTTTTCATTAAGAACCTAAAAATCACCAGAACACATGCTTTTAGTAGTAATTCTAATCCTAAAATGACTTCACAGTAAAATTCTATTCCTAAATGGTTTCATGTCATGTGACAGGTGTTTCATACTTACCAGACTGACCTAGAAGATCAAAACACTGAGTCAGAGGGGATTAGTCTGTACCTAACTATGGTGCACTGGATGCACATATGACCATGTCAAAGTATCAACCTCCTTGTATGACAGATGCTAATAAAAACGCAAAACCCAATGAGCCTGGGTTAGGAAATCTAGCAAATCTATGCCTCACCTGTGATAAGAGAAACCACGGGGCAAGAGCAATCAGTGAAAACTGGTGGGGCTATTATGGATTTTGTTCTTACCTGGCCATCTGTAGTAGCATGACTGTGTTTTCTCCCTCGAAGGTGCAGGCTGGGGTGAAAGTGACATAAATATTGGGAATACCACTGCAATGAGAATAGCCATGCCCACCACAAGCCATCCGACACTCTTCGATACCAGCATTTGCTCTCCAGGTGGTGAAGGCCTTAAGCCCAGCAGTGAGGGCATGAAGCTGAGGGGACAAGCACAGGCTGTGAGAACACCAATGGTGCTGAGAAGCCCTATACCAATGAGAAAACAGGGACCCTCTTCTACCAAGCAAAACTAGCCAATGCACATGTCAACTGGAGAAGCAGGCTCCGACTGGTTGTAAGTTTCCACAGTCCTTTCTAAACTGTTCTGCTGGCATCACAATTCCTTTGGCTGACAAATGATCAACATGGTTTGATGCTTAGGATACTTAAAATACTGAAAAACCCACATTAATTGAAAGTTGTATCTTCATATTTGTTCCACTTTCTTTTTTTTCTTTCTTTTTTGTGCCAGGAATGGGGCCTGAGCTTGGGGCCTAGCATTCTTACTTGGCTTTTTCACTCAAGGTTGGTGCTTTGCCATTTTGCCACAGCTCTATTTTTTTTTTTTGGGTCCGGTTGTGGGGCCTGAACTCTGGGCTTGGGCGCTGTACCTCAGCTCTTCAGCTCAAGGCTAGCACTCTACCACTTGAGCTACAGCGCCACTTCCGGCTTTTTTCTTTTTGCTTATGTGGTGCTTAGGAATCGAACCCAGGGCCTCATGCATACAAGGCAAGCGCTCTACCACTGAGCCATCTTCCCAGCCCCCCACAGCTTTAATTGTGGCTTTTTTCCCAGTTAATTGGAGGTAAGAATCTTACAGACTTTTCTGCTTGGGCTGACTCTGAAAGGAGATCCTCAGATCTCAGGCTCCTGAATAGCTAGGATTACAGATGTGAGCCACCAGCCCCTGGGCTTTGTTGTAGTTTCTAAGATCACATAGTTCATTTCAGGAAATCTTTATGTGCAGGCTCTTCTGGATATTTCCAATAGGCAAAGGCAAAACATAAAGACCCACAAAGTGAATGGAGACCAAACACATACCTCAGGCAGCTCAGTCAGGTCTCCTTGGTCGATGCCCTCATTAACTCGATAGTAGGTGTCTTTCATGAATCTGCCTACAAACTGGAAAGCATAGGCAGTGGCCAGAAGTGGAAATAGTTTATATTGCTGTGTTTGAAAATCCAAAATCTGTGGTTCTGGATCCCTAAATTACATAGGAAAAAGAAAAATGAATATGGAACTTGCTGTGTGTCCAGTTCTAGTCTAAGCATTGTGCTGGATTCATTTACTTAATCTTTATAAAGACCCTATAAAAAGTTACTATTATCATCTTCATTTTACAAATGAGAAAAATGAGGGGTTAAGCCCTAGTACACTGGGCTGAGCCAATGCAGGCATCCACGTTGAGAATTCTGAGACCACTCAGAGTACACTCTTACCCTGACTTGATTTCAGACTGGTGCCTCACGGCGCTGTATCGAATGGCAATGGTGCATGCCTTGGACAGAGACTGAGCTGCTGCTCCCACAAGGTAGGACCTGACGAACACCATGGTCCCGTAGGTCAGTTTATTACTGACAGGCTTTACATATGTGCCATCAGGCTGCACCTGGAAGAACATGGGTGGGTTGATGCTTCTCTCTGTGAGCCCCAGGGGCAGTTTAGTGGATCTCCACACGGGTATCCCTGATGTACCAGCACATCCAGGATTTTGTCTGAGATACTAAATCCCACTCTCCACTCTGCCCCAATGAATCTCAAAATCTCAGAGCAAGGCCTGACAATGAGTTTTTACCCTCCAGGTGATTCTATAAGGCACATAAAAGCTTGAGAGCCATGGCTTTAGCAAGCTAGGTATGCTCTGCACCCCTGCCAACTGCTTTTGATTTCAATGTCCCACCATAAACATCAGAATTAAAATGTGTCACCTTTTGCAGCAGACTCTTATGGCCCCTACATGGGATGCCCCTGCTCCTGTCTCCTTCCCTTTTTTTTTTTTGGTCAGTCATGGGGCCTGAACTCTGGGCCTGGGCGCTGTCCCTCAGCTCTATCATTAGTGCTAGTGCTCGTGCTCTAGACTAGTGCTCTATTACTTGAGCCTCAGCCCCACTTCCAGCTTTCTCTGCTTATGTGGTGCCTCATGCATACAAGGCAAGCACTCTACCACTGAGCCACCTTCCCAGCCCCCTTCCTTTTTTTTTTTTTTTTTCAGTCATGGGGCTTGAACTCTGAACCTGGGCTCTGTCCCTCAGCTCTTCAGCTCAAGGCGAGTGCTCTACCACTTGCGCCACAGTGCCACTTCCAGTTTTCTGGTGGTTAATTGGAGATCAGAGTCTCACAGACTTTCCTGCCTGGGCTGGCTTTGAACCATGATCCTCAGATCTCAGCCTCCTAAGTAGCTAGGATTACAGGCTTGAACCACCGGCGTCCCGTTCTGTCTCCTTCCTATCTAACATACCTGTGCATACTTCATTAGCATGTTCTCTCTGGGAATACGATAGTTGTCCATCTTCAGGTAGCCATTATCCATCTCTTCATAACCAAATTTGGGGCCAATGTCTCCAACAGAAATACCTACCACAGAAAACAGGAAACACATTTTTTGGGGGGAGTAGTAGTGGTACTAAAGATTGAACGCAGGGCCCCACAGACATGCTAGGCCAAAGTCCTACCACTGAGCTATACCCCCAGCTCTTTTGTAGTATTTTATTTATTTATTTTTTTATTTTGGTGGTTGTGGGGCCTGAACTTTGGGCCTGGGCACTGTCCCTCAGCTCTTCAGCTCAAGGCTAACACTCTACCACTTGATCACAGTGCCACTTCCAGCTTTTCTGCTTATGTGGTGTTGAGGAATCGAACCCAGGGCCTCATGCATTCAAGGCAAACACTCTAACACTGAGCCATCTTCCCAGCCCTTGTAGTATTTTATTTTGAGACTAGGTCTAAATTGCTCATGCTGATGATTTGAACTTGTAATCCTCATGCCTCAGCCTCCCAAGTAGTTCTCACTACAGTCATGTCTGGGTGATGTGAGACATTTATGCTCTTCAATCCCTTTCTTTAGTTGTATCTTACACTTTTTTGTAGAGAAAAGCACTTGTTTTAACTTTTACTTACCTGGCAATGGCTTGTGGGTCCCCATTTCACGAATAGGTACAATGAAGGCATGCAATCCATAGCACTTCCCCTGAGTGTAGAGCTGGGCGAGAACTACGGCATGATTGGAAGTCTTCCCAACTGCAACATCAGACAGACAGGACAGAAGTGAGATACTGCTATATTTTTTTTTTGTCGGTCGTGGGGCTTGAACTCTGGGCCTGGGCGCTGTCCCTCAGCTCTTCAGCTCAAGGCGAGCGCTCTACCACTTGAGCTACAGCGCCACTTCTGGTTTTCTGGTGGTTTGTTGGAGATAGGAGTCTCATGGTCTCTCCTGGCCGGGCTGGCTTTGAACCGCGATCCTCAGATCTCAGCCTCCTGAGTAGCTAGGATTACAGGCGTGAGCCACCAGCGCCCAGCAATACTGCTATATTTTTAAAGATCCATACAAAATGGATCTTTAAAATGGAAATCCATGCAAAATAAGAATCCCAAGTCAAGAGCACAGAATGAAGAAAAGATACCAAATAAACATGTCAAAGCTATTTATAGTGAAAATTTGAAGACAACTCAAATTTTTGGCAAGGCAGCAATGACAAATAGAGGGCTAAGGCTGGAGCTCTATTGTAGAGCAACTTCCTAGCAATTGCTGGCTTTGGGTTCCATCCCTTGTACTATGGAAAAAATGATAGGGAATATTATTTTATTTTATTTTTTAGAATGATATTAATATTTTAAATATTATCATCTTAAAACTACAGTACGATTCAGGGATGTTTAGATGAAAAACTAAAAAAAAAAGCTAGGCGCTGGGGCTCACGCCTGTCATCCTAGCTACTCAGGAGGCTGAGATCTGAGGATCGCGGTTCAAAGCCAGCCCAGCCAGGAGAGACCATGAGACTCCTATCTCCAATAAACCACCAGAAAACCGGAAGTGGCGCTGTAGCTCAAGTGGTAGAGCACTAGCCTTGAGCTGAAGAGCTGAGGGACAGTGCCCAGGCCCAGAGTTCAAGCCCCATGACCGACAAAAAAAAAAAAAAAAAGCCTGTAAAATACTCATCATTTCTATTTTTTTTGTGTGTGTATGTGTCGGTAGTGGGGCTTGAACTCTGGGCTTGGGCGCTGTCCCTGTGCTCTTCAGCTCAAGGCGATTGCTCTACCGCTTGAGCCACAGTGCCACTTGAGCCACAGTGCCACTTCCGGTTTTCTAGTGGTTTATTGGAGATAAGAGTCTCATGGATGGCCTGGAAGGTGGCTCAGTGGTAGAGAGCTTACCTTGCATGCCTGAGGCCCTGGGTTCGATTTCTCAGCACCACATAAGCAAAAAGAAAAAAGCCGGAAGTGGTGCTGTGGCTCAAATGGTAGAGCGCTAGCCTTGAGCTGAAGAGCTGAGGGACAGCGCCCAGGCCCAGAGTTCAGGCTCCACGACCATACCCAAAAAAAAAAAAAGAGTCTCATGGAGGGCTGGGAAGGTGGCTCAGTAGTAGAGCGCTTGCCTTGCGTGCATGAGGCCCTGGGTTCGATTCTTCAGTACAACATAAGCAGGAAAAAAAAAAAGAGTCTCATGAACTTCCTGCCCGGGCTGGCTTTGAACCATATCCTCAGATCTTAGCTTCCTGAGTAGCTAGAATTACAGGCATGAGCAACCAGCGCCCGGCGATAATCCTCATTTCTGTGGTACATAAAACAGAAATCTATATAACATGTACAAGAGGAGATGAAATAGCTTAATGTAGTTTAAGATTTACCCTCTGTTTTCTATATTTCAAACAATATTCTCATATAAGCTCTAAATTCTAAATATAATCTCATACTGGATCTACAAAATATTCAACAAATGTTCAAAGAATTCACTTACGCCCACCAGGCCACCATTTAATGGATGTAACTGTAGGACTGTTGAGAATGAACTCTTGGGTTTTGGGGTCATAGGTGGCAGTGGTTTCTAAGCCTCGGAGATGAGTTCCTAAAAGAAGAAATTATATTCAATTCAGATAAAGCATGGGGGAAATAATCATTGCAGGATAAGATCTTTTTGCCTAGTCCTTTAAGCTCTAGAATTTCAGAGGAAAACAAGATCTGAAAGCAAGAGTCTCCCACATTTCACGTCTATAATGATCCAGTGCATCTGTAACAGTTACTCTGATGAATGAAAATGTACAGGCAGTTTGGATTAAAAAAACAACAACAACAACAAAAAACCCAAAAACCAAACAGTAACAATGTACGGATCTAACAAGAGAAGTTCACTGCCACCATTTTACCCCATCTCTAGGGTTCTTTTTTCTTTTTTTTTGGTTGTGGGTCTTGAACTCCAGGCCTGGGTGCTGTCCCTGTGCTCTTCAGCTCAAGGTCAGCGCTCTACCATTTGAGCCACAATGCCACTTTGGTTTCCAGGTGGTTTATTGGAGATAAGAGTTTCGTACTCTCCAGTCCGGGCTGGCTTTGAACCGCGATCCTCTTATCACACCTCTGGAGTATCTAGGATTACAGGCATGAGCCACCAGAGCCCAGCTTTTTGTTGTTGTTGTTGTTGCAAGACCAGGACTAGAATTCCATACCTGATACTTTGCTCATTGGCTGGCATTATACCAACTGAGCCATGAGTCCAACCCCCCATCTCTAAGTTTCAAGTGTGCCAATTTCCGCAACTCAGCACCTTGGAATGTGCTAATAGACTTCAGCTAATGTTTTTGTAAGCTGTGAACTTTATCAGAGTGAATGCTAGAATGTTAAAGGTTTATTTGTTAGAAAAAGTGAATTTTAAAAATTCTTCTAAGGGCCAAACAGTAAAGCTTGCATTCACCCTGTAAATTTTTTTTGTCAGTCATAGGACTTAACTCAGGACCTGGGTGCTGTGCCTGAGCTTTTCTGCTCAAGGCTAGTGCTTTGCCACTTTGAGCCACAGCTCCATTTCCAATTTTCTGGTGGTTAATTGGAGACAAGAGTCTTGCAGACTTTTCCTCCCAGGCTGGCTTTGAGCCCTGCTCCTCAGATCTCAGCCTCCTGAGTAGCTAGGATTACAGGTATGAGCCACTGATGCCTAGACACCCTACCGAGTTCTAATGCCAGGCCTTAACTTAATCCTAGTGTTCCCGAATGTGATAAAGAGGAGTTCCCAGTTTTGTGTGTTTACCAGAGATAAATAACACACCAGGACATCTGCCAAAATTCCTTGAAGAGTTATAAAAAACAAAACAAAACAACAACAAAAACATGTCTTGGTGGCATTTTCTCTAATAATACTTGTACTGAGGACCTTTTTTTTTTTTTACATCAAACTAGACCTCACTGAACACTTGGAAATATTTAGAAACTTCTAAGTTGAGTAACAGAAATGGCTAGTTTACATGTGATCTGAATGGGAGTCAAGAAAGTAGAGACTTCGGAAATTCCTTTACCAAAGATGATTTTACAGAAAAAAAAAGGCACCTTAAACATAACAAAGACAAAATGTTTTCAAATGTGTAACTGCGCTGAACAGTGTTCCATTTGCAGTTTTAAAAAGTTCCCATAAAATACTAGTCAGCCCTGAGTAAGAAGAGCCCAGAGTGGAAAGAAGTTGGCAGAAGTAAACGAATGGCAGAGATAGCAATTCAGCAGCGATGATGAGAGGAACGGTTGGCACCCTCATTCCAATCTAGGTACGTGAAGAATGGCAGGTGGGGGTGGTGAGAAAAAAGAAAGATGTTTCACATAGAATTTGAAGCAAATGCCTAGGAATACAATTTTTCTTAATTTCTAACCTCTGGCCAAGCTACCTTCAGAACTTTTTTTTGCATTTATTGAATCAAGGAACAAATAATTTCTAAGCACAAAAGGCTGCATGTTCTGATTATAAGAAGCTATTCATTCCCCTTATGCAAGTCAAAAAGCACCCAAACCTTGACTGTGTATTTCTTCTGAGATTTGTAAAAGTTGCATTAGGGTATCAGTAAGTATTGAGAGATTAATGAATATAATGGATCGGATCAGGTTCTAGGTACACAAGTTCTACACTACTTGAATGAACTTGAAGAAAAGTCATGTGGTAAGGAAAGCCTGACTTTCTTACTGATCTCCTGATGAGGATACATGAAAAAATAATCAGTAAATCACTAGAATAATACAATGTTTAATTTTCACTAACCAAAAACCAATGTCCATGTACAAAGCTGGCATGCTGCAGGAGAATCTCATCTAAAAAGACTACCATATATTGACACACTAGCATCTGGCAGGCACGCACTATGTGTCTAGCTGGTGAGGCCTGCCCCACCCAGAAGGTAGACAGAATGCACTGTACCATGACCCATCTCTGTCTGGGCATAAGTGCCAGTGATCTCCAAATTCCAGGCTGGCATGAAGAAGCGCTCCTGCTGCTCTGCGGTGGCCTGGTGAAGCAAGGTGGGCAGGAACATGCCCAAGTGAAGATCCAAAGGTTCGGGCCGCCCTCGGTGCACAAAGCTTCGAAGAATTACCAAGGACGGACATTTGAGAGAAGCATCATCGGGTGTAAGAGAATCAACAATTTACAGACAGAGCAAGGGAAGGAGAAAAAAAAAAAATCTTCGGTGAGTATGGATTAGTTAAGTGCACTTCATTACGGATGGGAGCACTGCCCCTTTCTGTATTGCTTTATGATTCTCAGCAATTTTCATTGCTTGTAGCAGGATCCATTCAGAGATCACAGCCCATACAGCACAATACCGTGTGTATGAGACAGAGACTCTGACCTGACAATTGATGGAAATGAAACATTTGGAAAGATTACATGGAATAGAGAATTAAGGTGGCACAAGTGCTTACTGGAATGGGAAGGAGACAGAATGTAATATAATCTCCTAGAGTAAGGTTTTGTTCCAGATGCAACTTAATTAATGCTTCTAGGCAGGGACATTTTGTCCATAGAATATCCAGCATCAGATCCAATTCATCATGTCAAATATTCAGTCATGCCCTACTGAAACAAATACAAAAATCGACAGTGCTCTTCATCTCAGTAATTTCAGAAATTAAAAAGCATGCAATTTCTAGTGAAAATCATAACAATTACAAATACAGATTTGTGTATAATAACTTTGTCATTACAATTATGTACTAAATATCACAAATGATAATAAACACCTTGTTTCAGTCTTAAATCCATTTTCTGGTTCATTATTGTCCATTAAAAGTTTACAAGCATTGTCTGGATATAGTGGTGCATACTTGTAATCCCAGCATTTAGGAAGATAGAAAATTTGAGACCAGCTTGACACATACAGTGGGTATGAGGCTACTCTGGGTTACATACAAAGACCCTTCTTTAAAAAGACAAAAGCTGAGCACCAGTGGTTCATGCCTGTAATCCTAGCTACTCAGGAGGCTAAGATCAAAGGATCATGATATGAAGCAAGGCTGGGCAGAAAAGTCTATAAAAGTCTGTATCTAATTAAGTGGCAAAAACGCTGATGTGGGGATATGACTTAAGTGTTAGACACCAGCCATGAGCAAGAGAGCCTGATGCCGAGTTCAAGCCACAATATAAAGAAACATCATCATCTACTTATCTTCTGGGTGAGGAAATTATTGCATAAGTACAACACAGAATATACCAAAAACCTAAAGCTATCCTTGGAAGGATGACAAGTGGAAATTCCACAAGATGTTATCACTTGTAGAAACTGGGTAAAAGATTTATAAATTCTCTTGGTACTATTGGTACTATTTTTGAAACTTCCTATGAATTTACAATCACTTCAAAATTAAAAAGAAATTCCCATAAAAACAAAATTAAAAAAAATTCCCATAAAAACACAGCATGAGGGCTGGGAAGGTGGCTCAGTGGTAGAGCGCTTGCCTTGCATGCATGAGGCCCTGGGTTCGATTCCTCAGCACCACATAAGCAAAAAGAAAAAAAGCCGGAAGTGGCGCTGTGGCTCAAGTGGTAGAGCGCTAGCCTTGAGCTGAAGAGCTGAGGGACAGCGCCCAGGCCCAGAGTTCAGGCCCCACAACTGGACCCAAAAAACAAACAAACAAAAAAAACACAGCATGAAGCTGGTCACTGGTGGCTTAGGCCTGTAATCCTAGCTACTTAGGAGGCTGAGATCTGAGGAGCAGGGCTCAAAGCCAGCGGTTCAAAGGAAAATCCGTGAGACTCTCACCTCCAAATAACCACCAGAAAACTGGAAATGGTGTTGTGGTTCAAGTGGTAGAGTGCTTGCCTTGAGTTGAAGAGCTCAGGGACAGCGCCCAGGCTGAGTTCAAGCCCCAGGACCAACAGAAAACACACACAGACACACACACAGACACACACAGACACACACAGACACACACACACACACACACAGAGCATGAGATGAGAATTGCCTTTTTCACTCACCAACAGGAATGCCAACCATCTTTTAATACTAAACCTTAGGTTCCATCCCAATCAAATAATAAAAAGTTATGATCCTCAGCATAATTTTTTTAAAAAAAAGAAAAAATAAGGGAGGTAGAGGCAGAAAGATTGAGGTTTCAAGGCCAGTTTAGGCAATTATTAAGGTCTTCTTTTCAAAAATAGAATAAAAAACTAAAGGGTATGTGTTGGAAAGGTGGCTCAGTGTTAGAGTGCTTGCCTTGCATGCATGAGGCCCTGGGTTCGATTCCTCAGTACCACATAAACAGAAAAAGCCAGAAGTGGTGCTGTGGCTCAAGTGGTAGTGCACTAGCCTTGAGCTGAAGAGCTGAAGGACAGCATCCAAGCCCAGAATTCATGACCTACCACGGGCAAAAAAAACCAAACAACAAAAAAAACTAAAGGGTATCACTCAAGTGGGAGTGTTTGTTTAACAAGCTCTAGGCCCTAGGTTCAACCTTCAGTACTACAAACAAAATAAATTTAAAAAATTAAAAATGAACTTTGAGTCTCAGTTTGAGTATATCTCAGTGGTAGAATTTTTATTTACTATGCTCAAGATCCTGGTTTAATCCCCAGCACTGTTTTTACAAACCAACAAAGACATACACACACACACACACACACACACACACACACACACACACACACACACATATACACACACACATGCACACGCACACACATGCACACACACACGCACACGTGTGTGTAATAACAAGCACTAAGTGTTATCACAAAATATACTTAGCAGAGGGCTAGGAAGGTAGTTCCATGGTAGAGGGCTTGCCTTGCAAGCTTGAGGCCCTGGGTTCGATTCCTCAGCACCACATAAACAGAAAAAAAAAAGCTGGAAGTGGCGCTGTGGCTCAAGTGGTAGAACACTAGCATTGAGCTGAAGAGCTGAGGGACAGCGCCCAGGCCCAGAGTTCAGGCCCCACGACAGGACCGGACCCCAAAAAAATAAAATAAAATAAAATAAAAAATATATAAATATAAATAAATAATAAATAAATATATATATACACATACACTTAGTAGAGTAGTAGGTCAAACTACTACCATCAGAAATGTTATAAGGAGAAAGGGACAGTTTTGTTTTGTTTTTTACTTAAACCAAGTATTTAATGTAAAATGTTGATGACTCATGATAATGACTAAATATTACTTTAAAATCATTTATTATAAAATAACAAAGCACCAACATCGTATTGGCAAAGTGATAGCGAGTTCTTTGTAACTGTAACATCTCTCTATCCACAAGGTTCAAGACTGGAAAGGCTAACAGCCCACACAGGATGGACACACACACACACACACAAACACACACACACACAATTAATAATAAATGGAGGAGGAATAAAATTAAAATAGCATCTCTGTGCACAGCATAATTATAATCCTAGGATATCAAGAGCAACAAAACACCAGCAATAATAAGCAAATTGAGAACAGAAATAGTCTATAAGGGAAAAAAAAGAAAATCAACTGCATTCTTAAGATCATTCACTTAGAAAACCCAGTGAAAAGGACAATTTATGAAGAAACCAAAATTTTAAATTTTAATTAAGCAACTTAGCTCAGGATATAAAACATTTATTTAAAAATACAAGGCCTGAGTTCAATTCCCAGAATAAATGAAAATTTAAGAGACAGAATTCAAATTCCTAATGCAGCATGAATAAAAAATATGCAAGATAAGGGACAGCGCTCAGGCCCAGAGTTCAGGCCCCACGACCAGACACCCCCCCCCCCCCAAAAAAAAAATATATATGCAAGAGTTGACTGCTAGTGGCTCACACCTGTAATCCTAGCTATTTAAGAGGCTAAAATCTGAGGATCAGTTCAAAGCCAGCCCAGGTAGAAAAGTATGAGACTCTTATTTTGGCTGGCTATGGGCTTGAATTCTGGGCCTGCGCACTGTTCCTGAGCTCTTCAGCTCAAGAAAAGTGCTCTACCACTTGAGCCACAGTGCCACTTCCGCTTTTCTGGTGGTTAATTGGAGATAAGAGTCTCACAGACTTTCCTGCTCAAGTTGGCTTTCAACTGTGATCCACAGATCTCAGCCTCCTGAGTAGCTAGGATTACAGGTATGAGCCACCAGTGCCCAACTTGCCTACATATTTCTAAAAAACACCACAGGAATTTTTAATTAGTGTAGTATTACAGTCTTTATTTTCTTGGGAAGAGCTGTTAGTCTTCTCAGATGAGAAAAAAAGACGGACAAAAAAGAAAAAAAAATACGTAGGCAAGAGTACCAAATACGTATATCTTGATATATTAACAATGGGTTTATCCTATCAGATATAAAAATATATTACAAGCAACTAGACAAATTTATGTCAGAAGACAAAAATAATCAGTATAAGCCAGGCCCTGATGGCTCACACTTATAATCCTAACTACTCAGAAGGCTGAGATCTGAAGGTGGTGGTTTGAAGCCAATCTTGGGAAGAAAAGTCCCTGTGAGACTCTTATCTCCAATTAATCACTCAAAAACTGGAAGTGGGGCTGAGACTCAAAGTTGTAGACTGCTAGCCTTGAGTAAAAAGAGCTCAGGGACAATACCCAAGTCCTGAGGTAAAGCCATACAACCAACATAATAAGAAGAAGAACAAAAAAAAGGAGGAGGAAGAGGAAGAAAAGGAGGATTATAGTTAAGGTTCCAGAAAAAAAATTAAACTATTACAAAATTCTCAGCAAGCTAGAAAAACAGGAAGGAGAGCCACTAGTTGACAGAGGTAAGAAATCTAAGCGGAGGGCCAGTGGCTCACGCCTGTAATCCTAGCTACTCAGGAGGCTGAGATCTGAGGATCGCAGTTCAAAGCCAGCCTGGGCAGGAAAGCCCCTGACGCTCCTATCTTCAATAAACCACTAGAAAACCTGAAGTGGCGCTGTGGCTCAAGTGGTAGAGTGCTCGCCTTGAGCTGAAGAGCTGAGGGATAGCGCCCAGGCCCAGAGTTCAAGCCCCAGAACCGACAAAAAAAAGAAAAGAAAAAAAGAAAACCTTATGGGATTCATTCTCACACTGTATCATATACAAGTCAAAGCATGAAATACAAACCAAACCATAGGAGAAGAAAAC